TGTGGCATTTCAATACGCCAAAAACAATAACAACAAGTCTCACAATGGAGACGTTACTGGTGCCCACTCAAGCAAATTGATGAACAACGGGAAGACAGCACTACTGTGCAATATATATAAATATATTTAATATATTATATTATATTTCTATTATATAATAAATATATAATAAATATATACTTATTTATTATATATTTATTATACATTTATATTATATAAATATATATAAACATATATAGCCTTTTGGCTAAGATCAAGTATAGTATATATATTATAATTCTCTATAATTTCAGCTGGAACAAGCAATTCTCACCCTCTCCCACCCATCCTCCCACATGCAGAACACAAACCAGGAAGGGGTGGGGAAACTGAGGACCAGGTACCTGTTCCAGTTGGTGGTTCTGGATCTGGGAGGAGACCATGGCCCCAGAGCAGAAGCCTGGACCTCTGTGAAAGCAGAGCCAGCACACCAGGCCACCTGGCCCACCCTGTACCCTTGGCTGGCTAGCAAGCTCCCCTCCATACCCATCCCTCCTCCATAACTAACTACCTCAGAACCTAACTTGGCTCAATCCGGCCTGCTGTTTCTGAGCTCGCTGAGTGAGATTCTAATGTGCCAGGGGAGTGGGTTACTAGATTCCAGATTTTTTTTGTTTAGGTTTAGTTTGGGTTGGGGGCCACACCCATTGGTGCTCAGGGCTTAGTCCTGGCTGAGCTAAGGGATACACCTGGTGGTGCCAGGGCTCATGCCAGGGTTGGCTGTATGCAAGCAAGAGTCCCGCATACTGTGCTATCTCTCTAGTGCCCTAGACTTCAGGTCTTTTTCCCTTAGACTTCAAAGAAAGACATATCCCCTCTGCTGCCTAAAAGGAAGAAATTTACAGCTTGTCAACATCATGGCTTTATTCTAAATGGTACAGCATGCTCTCCACATTACATAAGAAATGTAAAATAGAAGCACACAAATCTATTTACCATAAACAATTCTGAAACTTTTCCCATCATAACAGCTACCTGCTGCTTTTGTGAATAATGCAATCCCTGCAAACTCACTTTCCATTCACTATAAATATCTAAACTATTTTCCCTTTAAATTAAATAATATGCCCATGTTCTAGTGGAAAAGAAAGGGGCTTGCCTCACAGAGCCCTGAAATTACAAATCATCTGACTTGTCAACCTCAGCTTTGTGTAGCTCTTAAAGATGATAAGATGATGTGATGTGAACCAGGTACCTGCCACCCAATAAACACTAATTAAGTTACTCAAGAATATCCAGGGTCTGGGGCTGGAACAATAGCACAGCGGTAGGGTGTTTGCCTTGCATGTGGCCTACAAGGGTTCGATTCCCAGCATCCCATATGGTCCCCTGAGCACCGCCAGGAGTAATTTCTGAGTGCAAAGACAGGAGTAACCCCTGTGCATGGCCGGGTGTGACCCAAAAAAAGAATATCCAGGGTCAGAAAGAGAACTTGATAAAAGGAAAACCAAACTTTATACGCAGTTAAGTAAATATATTGTTAACAGTTTGGTTTTAGTTTTTTTTTTTAGTACCATAAACTAAGGTAAAGATAGCAGAGCAGGTAGGGCGTTTGCCTTACAAGCGGCCAATATGGCCGACCCGAGTTCGATTCCTCCGCCCCTCTCGGAGAGCCCGGCAAGCTACCGAGAGTATTCGATATGCCAGACACAGTAACCATAAACTAGGGACTTCAAATTTACCCCATTTTAGCACTACTGACTTTATTTCCTAAAAAATAATTCCAAATGTTTCTAAGAGTAGGACTTGTGATTAAAACAATGAAATAGGTGTGTATATGTATGCACATGTGTACATATACATACATGCACATATATGCATATAAATATCGACAAAATATTAAGTTAAAAAATGTAAGGTAGAGAGAGAGAATACTGGGGCTGAGGTTCATGCGTTGCATGCTCATTCTATAAAATAAATTCAAGGTGCAGCAAGAAGACTCTAGAAAAGTAAAATTCTATAAATTCTATTTTATTAAACACAGGTTTGGGCTGGAGAGATAGTACAGCGGGTAGGGTAGGGCGTTTGCCTGCACGCAGCCAACATGGCCGACCCAAGTTTGATTCTTCCGCCCCTCTCAGTGAGCGTGGCAAGCTACCGAGAATAACTCATCTGCACGGCAAAGCCTGGCAAACTACCCATGACGTATTCGATATGCCAAACACAGTAACAAGTCTCACAATGTTACTGGGCCCGCTTGAGCAAATCGATGAACAATGGGAGGATAGTGACAGTGAAACACAGGTTCAATACTGGGTACCAATGGTCCCTTAGCATCACTAAGTGCAGCCCTAGTGGGGCTCTGAGTACAGCTGGAGAGGCTTGGGTGCAAAGAATTACCAGAGGAACCCGTAGGCCCCCTAAGCACTGCCTAAGAAGCCCCAAATATTTACATGTCACTGTCCTGGTCACTGTCCTCCAGTTGTTCATCAATTTTCTCGAGCGGGCCCAGTAACGTCTCCATTGGAGACTTTGTTGTTACTGTGTTTGGCATATCGAATGTGTCACGGGGAGCTTGCCAGCCTCTGCCATGCGGGCGAGATACTCTCGGTTGCTTGCCGGGCTCTCCGAGAGTGCTGAGGAATCAAACTCGGGTCGGCCATGTTGGCTGCGTGCAAGGCAAATGCCCTACCGCTGTGCTATCGCTCCAGCCCATTTACATGTATATTATTACAATTACAAAAATGAAACAAATATTACATGTATGTATAAACTGATCCTACAAGTAAAAATACTCCTGTATACATGCATACACACTCATATCACATGTCTGTAGGGAAATGGCTGGAACACATGACTCTTTTCATTTTCTTCTTTAAACTTGTCTAGAGTCCTCTTGCTGCACCTTGAATTTATTTTATAGAATGAGCATGTATCAGCTAGCTGACCAGAGCTTTGGAAAAAATGAACTACGACTCAGGCAGATCAACTGGCTGACATCATCCTACCCGACACACCTCAGGGCTGGAAACAGCACCCAAAACCATCATTCAGGGAATCCCGTATTCATGCGGTCCCCAGCAGGCCCCCACAGTCCCGAGAGGCACCACTTCTCACTCCACAGGCAGGGAGGAATCACACACTCCAGGAGCCCCACACTCCCCGCTGGGCCTTCAGCCTGGGGCCTCAGCTCAGAGAGATGCTGGGGCTGCTCAAGGCAGGGGGTCCACAACCCAGCCCGGACCTGCAGAAGGACCTTCAGCTTGCTCCCCCAGTCAAAGGAGACTGGCCATAGAAATCACTAGAACACTTCAAGTTTCAATACTTGAGACATAGGATGGAGTCTATAAAGTCAGTAATTTGAACACTTCCTTTAAAGCCTCAAGCTTTATCTTCTAAAGTAATTCATAATTGATATCATATGTCAGTGTTTCTGAACCATTTTTTGACCTTGACCCCCTTCTGACCTTGTTTTTTCCTTGTGTACCACACCCCAAACTGTTCCAGTAGTTGGCCTGATGGCCCCCCATTTATGCACCTTTCATCTGTGGCCCTGGGAGCCCACAGGGCACCATGTGAACCCTAGGTGAGAGATGATGCCTTAAACAATAAAAATATAAGGTTGACTTTCCTGCAGAAAAGGTCAACATATGAAATGCCAGATTAAATACTCTGCCATTTTTACAGGAGTCCAAATCTTTTTAACATATGTTACTTTACTTAGTGGTTATATAGCTTAAAGAGACATGGACACGAAAAGTAAATAGATGCTTTGAAAATAAAGTAAATTTCATAGGTGATGTAGTTTGGAGGGTTGTAGCAATCCCCTTCCTTATACCTCCAATAAAAAAAAAAAATCTGTCACTTCAGTCTGACTCGAAATAAAAGAAAAGGACCCAAACTAAAAGCAAGTGATCAATGAATTTATACTACCTGCTGTTAAATGTGCCTGGGAAAAAACTTCTGCCAACTTAGTGCACCAAAATATTTGAAAATCAATACTTTAATGCAGAATTGTGCCCTCATTAAAAACCGGACAACAAATGCAAAATCCAGAGTCTCTCTGTTCAGTATCCACGTAACTTCAACATACAGACATCACTTGCATAGCAAAGAACTCATCTGCTAAATTTCTTTTAGGTTTGAGGACTTTTTAGCAGTTAAAACCAGAAGAAAATACCTGCTAGAGCAGGCAAAGTATATAATATTTTTTCCACCTATGGCAACGAAGAACACTCATGCAGCCCACCAACCTCACCACAGAACCGCTGCTAAAAGAAATTACTTTTTTTTTTTTTTGCTTTTTGGGTCACACCCAGCAATACATAGGGGTTACTCCTGTCTCTGCACTCAGGAGTTACTCCTGGCGGTGCTCAGGGGACCATATCGGATGCTGGGAATTGAACCCGGGTCAGCCGCGTACAAGGCAAATGCCCTACCCACTGTGCTATCTCTCCAGCCCCTAGAAGGAATTAATTTTACGAAACATTACCTGGCCTTACTTTGGAACCTGACCTGACCTGGAAGGTCAAGAAAACTTGCACTTTCTTAAAAGGAGCTACCTGGTATTCTGTTTGGCTTTCTTTCTCCCTTCCTTCCTCTCTCTCTCTCTCTCTCTCTGTCTCTGCTGTCTGTCTGTCTGTCTGTCTGTCTGTGTCTCTCTCTCTTTCAACATTTTAAAAATATTTATTTAGTTGGACCATAAAGATGAACACAATCAAGCACATGTTTTTAAAATAAAATCAAGTGGGAATTCTCTATTTTGATTTTAGTTGAATTTTGGAAAACTTGCTCCACCAAGGCTTACAAAAGAGCCCGAGAGAAATGAAGCAACAGAAACCAGGCAGGACGGACCATGAACTTAATCTCAGGAAACTTCCCAGGATTCCCGCTGGCTGCCCTACCCAGATCCACCAGCCCTGGCCCCTCATACGAAAGACCCGAGGGACCGAAACTTCCATTTCTAACCTGGGGCCAAGCCCCTGCCTTCCCCCTGCCCCCTTCTCCCCGGCCACACTGACCTGACTGGAGCTGGCTTCAGGGCTCCCATTCCAACCGTCCTGCGGGGACAGCGGCAGGACAGCAGCCCGGGTGCCGGGGCTCCTCCGGAACGACCACCGCTTGCAGACGGACAGGAGGGTGACCTGGGGGTCGCTCAGAGTCGCCAAGAAGGACTGCTGGGGGCTCTCAGCCGGCTGGCCCGCAGTCGGCTGCATCGCTATGTCCACAGCCCCACCTTCACCCGCCATGAGAGCAGTTCCCAGCAGGCAGGAAACGTTTCAGGAGTGTCCTCCAGATGGGGTGGGCAGGGGCAAAGCAAGCCTGCAGTCACTGCTCTGTGCTGAGTTGACCCAGGAGGGGCTGCCAGCCGAGTCTGGGGCTAGCCGGCAGCTCCGGGGACTTGGGCACACAGCACACGGCTGCGTATATATTTACTCTTGTTTATCTACATCCTCCCGACCAATTGGCACCCACTTACTCATGGCACGGCCCTGAGCGCTGAGAGTCTGTGTGCACGGCCGTGCGCACACCCACCGGGCACTGCCAGGACACTGGGCCAGCAGGGACGGGAGCCCAGCTCAGGAGCTGAGCCGCCTGCCTTCCCACAGCCCCCACCTGGAGGACAACGGGGACAAACGCCACTTCCTTCTAGGAGCCAACTCGGAGCGCTTTCTTGAAATGACTTCAGCTGCCTCGCTGGCCGTGGACAGGCCCCTTGCCTGGGCAACAACACGACCGGCATTTTCAAGAAGGTGGAAGGAAGCTCCGTGTCTCCCGCTCGATTTGCTCCCGCCGTGAATCGATGGCCTGACTTCAGGGACAACAGCCCACAAGAGACTCACTGGCCGGCACAGCACAGGTTTCATGGGCAGCAGAACGGCCAGGAGCCACGGCCCAAGCGAGCCGGGCCGTTCTGGGGCTCCGATGGTTACACAGAATAAACGCAAGGAGACTAACGGCTGCAGTAATCCCCACAGCTCAACCTTTCTTTCTCCCCACCCCATCCTCCCCGGCAGGAACAATTCCCACCGCTGCTAATCCTGGCAACTCTTCCTGGCACAAGTGTATGGGGGCCTCCACGGCCCTGTGGCCCAAGCGTGACTCCTTATCACTAAAAAAGTGGCCAAAGGAGAAGGGGCACCCCCTGGGAACTCAGACCCCCTCAGAACACAGTTTCCTGAGCTCAGAATCACTGAGGACTCTGCCACCCTGCCATGTCCTGCCTGCCCTAAGCACTGCTGCCCCTCAGATGGAGGGAGGGCCCCAGAGGCCACTAGGAACTGGACACAGGTCACTCACCTTTCATGGATTCTGTGGGACTTGGGCTCCTGAAAAGCACTCAGGGAAGCCAATTCCACAAGGTGGGTGGGGTGGCGTCTTACCCCCCCCCCCCCCATGTGCTCAGTCAGGAAGCTCCAGCACCCAAGACACCCAGGAGTGACCCAGGGCCAAGGGGCAGTGCAGGCCAAAGGCGCTGGCCCTGCACGCAGCCAGCCCAGGTTTGAGTCCCGGCACCCCATATGGTTTCTCAGTACTGCCAGGAGTGAACCCTGAGCACCGCCGGGTGTGGCTGAAAATTCAAATTGGCGAAGTCTCCAAAATGAAGGGCAAGTTGGAGGCCATGTGGCCAGCAGGGAGTCCGTGGGCAGGCTCTGGGCAGGCGCTTTCTCCTTGTTTTGTTCTGTTTGTGTTGTTTTGGGGTCATACTCAGCGATGCTCCGGGGTTACTCCTGGTTCGACACTCAGGGATCAATCCTGGAGGTGCTCAGAACCATATGGGATGGTGGGGATTGAACCTGGGTACGGTCGTGTACAAGGCAAGTGCTCACCTGCTGTACTATCGCTCCAGCCCACTCTGGCCCTGCCACTTTCTCATCGTGGACCCTGGGACCCTGATGGCTTCAAGGGGGCCTTAATGACTACCCAAAAGTCTATTGGGATTCACATATGTCCACTGATCCTTTTACAGGTCATTGTAATCAGGGTTTGCAGAGACTTTGCCCTTTAAGCAATTGATGGTTTTGATTTTTTTTTTTTTTTTAAGCCATTTCAGGGGCTGGAGCGATAGCACAGCGGGTAGGGCGTTTGCCTTGCAAGCGGTCAACATGGCCGACCCAGGTTCGATTCCTCTGCCCCTCTCAGAGAGCCCAACAAGCTACCGGGAGTATTTCGCCCGCACGGAAAAGCCTGGCAAGTTCCCCCATGACAAGCTCCCCGTGACGTATTCTATATGCCAAACACAGTAACAATTGTCACAATGGAGATGTTACTGGGCCCGCTCGAGCAAATCGATGAACCAGGGGAGGACAATGACAGTGACAGTGAGCCATTTCAGATAAAGGTCTCATTTCTCTTTCTGCTCTTTCTGCTGCCTTTCAAAATGAGTTATCATCCTATTTCAACCTTGAGGAAGGAGCATTTATATACAAAATGCCGCTTTTGTGCACTGCTCCCAGTAATTAATTAAGGAAAGTGTGTTGGAATCGTGAGAGGAGGATGCCTGCTTTTGAAAAGTTTCCCCTGCTAGCACTCTGAACTGTGAAAATCTAGAGCACTTTGCCTGTGATTGAGAAATACAGATGGGGCGGGATGAGAATCAAGACGCCACACCACGGTGGGGGTAATGGCATCACAAGGAGCAAAGGAAATCAATCCCCAGGGAAGGATTAAACAAATGAGAGGGCCCTTCAGGGCTCACAAAGAGGGAGCCCCAGAGAAGGTCGGAGCCTTTTCTAGTTAGAAAGAGACAGGCACAATGGTGGGGGGGACAGGCGTGAGTGGAGTGGCAGCTCCCTCTTCATTCACACGGAATCGAAGGGACCTGCCAAGCAGCCCAGAGCACCAAGGCCAAACCCCTCTTCCCGGCTCCTTCCTGTCCCTCACACCTGACCCCTGGGTGTCCCCCACCCCCATCTAATCCTCTTTATCCTTTAAGTCTCCTCTATCCCTTCAGCTAGGCGCTGCCTTATCTGAATTCCAGATTTCACTCCTGCCCAGACCACAGATAATGTGGCACACATCAATCACAAACAGCACTCGGGCCAGCCACGCAAGGTCCTTCCACAGTGCTTCTCCCAGGGTCGGGAGGGCTGCGGGCTCCAGGAAGACTCGGTTCCTACCTCTTATCTGTCCACAGACCTAACACTAACAAGGGATGAACAAAGACCAAATGTTAAGTAAACACTGCTGAGCTGAACTAACAGACAGACCCAAGAATGTGCTTTCCACTGAGCAATTTATTGTTTTGCGGCTCATTTTTTGGGGGGGAGGGGGCCGTCTCACAATGCCAGGGCAAACTCCACTAGTCTCCAACCCATTCTTTATAAAACAGATCTTCGAGCAGCTGCTGTTGCTAATCCCCACATGTGCAAACTAGAATCCACCTTGGTTATCTCTGACCCACCTTTCCAGTCCCGGTGGCTTTCCGTGAAAAAATAAAAACCTGAGGTGTCCTGAGCAAAGCTGTGGAACCTGAGACGCCTGAGCCCCAAGGCAGATGGGCAGGTCAGGTTTCCAGGGCCTCCTCCACAGAGGCCTCTAAGTGGGGGAGGGACGGAGGTTCCCTCACCACGCTGGGCTGGGCGGGGGTGACTCTGTGGAAGAGGAGCCCAGATCCAGTGACAGGACAGCAAGGGGAACTTGACACTAAGCTGCCTGCTGGGAAGTGGTGGCCCTGAAGGTTCCCAGGCAGAGAGAGGAGCACCCCCAGCCACTGACCCCCCAAGTTCCAGGCCCACCAGCCTACTCTTGGCCAAGGGGATGCAATGGTGAGAGGCGAGGATCATTTTGTGCCTAAGAAGTTCGGCACAGAATGTGGGGGAGCAGGAGCAGGAGACAACTTCCTACCCTGGTGAGCTCACTAGCAAGTGAGGACCTAATAGAAAGTGTTCTCGCACACAAAGCTTCTTCCTGTCCGAGGGGCTTCCGGGTCAAAGGGTGAGGCGTGACCTCGGCTCCTCACCCTGCCACCTGGCCACGCAGGTGATTGCCGAGACTGGAACAGTGAGCCTGAAGTGACTTTCAGAGTAGCTTATGAACAATTATTTACAGATCCACTCCCCCGAACAAAACCCTCATGGCAGTGAGCAGGAGAGACCAGAGCAAAGGAAAAAAAATGATAGAGCATCTAAACACTAAATGATCTAGCATCAGAAAAAAAGAAACAGTGAGATGATCGAAGAGCAAACATCAATGTTCCACAGTCATTAAAGGCACCCTAACTTTCTCGGAAGCCCACCTCATTGGGTGTCCACCTGGCACCACCCACATATATTGCATCTCTCAAGTTTTTGTTTTGTTTTGTTTTCGTTTTTGGACCACACCTGGTGGTACTCAGGACATATTCCTGCCTTTGTACTCCGGGGTCACTCCTGAGGCGCTGGGGGACCATATGCAATGCTAGAATAGAAGCCTGCTTGGCTGCATGCAAGGCAAGTGCCCTATCTGCTATACTGTTGCCCTGGTCACACCTGTCAGTTCTAATGGCATTTAAGAAATCTTTCCTGCTTATTTTCCTCCAGAGTGTCCAACTGCTACCTGACACAGTGAAGTGTATTTTCCTTATTTGTTTGCTCACTTAATCTCCAAGTAGGACATTAAGTTTCACAAGTGCAGGAACCCTGTCTCTGCTTTCTTTGATCACTGCTGTCTTCCTAGCACTGGAACCATGAAAGTTTCTCAGTAAATATTTGATTCATGAACACCGATCACGATCACGGTCATCCTGTTGTTCGTCGATTGCCTCGAGCAGGCACCAGTAACGTCTCCTTTGTCCTAGCCCTGAGATTTTAAAGTGCCATATTCAAGGCTCTTTCAGGGTTAGGAGAATGAGACCCATCATTGTTACTGGTATCTGGCATATTGGGTACACCACGGGGAGTTTGCCAGACTCTGTCATGTGGACAGGTTACATTCGGTAGCCTGCCAGGTTGTCCAAAGTAAGAATGAGATAATAAGATGTCACATGAACATCACAATACCAAATAAAATCAACTTACACACTTGCTTGCTTTATAAAACACAGACTCTAGATGTTCACACAGTGAATATTCAGAGGGTGCCCAGTCAAAGCTAGTCTCGCCTCCATCACTTGGCCCTTTCTTATGCCTCTAAGCCATGAGTCTAACCTCAGATAAAACCAAATAAGACCAAGCACTGACATAGATGAGCATAGTCTGGCAGCCCAAAAGAGGCAGCGTCTCCCTCCTTGGCTCCTGCAAAATCTTGTTAAATGACCAGGGACCCAGGGAAAGTCCC